ATCTCGAACAGGTTTTTCGTCCAGTTTCCCACGTCCATTGAAGAGATCTGTCTGTCCATCTGTCTGTCCGTCTGTCTGTCTGTCCGTCTGTCTGTCTGTCCGTCTGTCTGTCTGTCCGTCTGTCTGTCCGTCTGTCTGTCCGTCTGTCTGTCCGTCTGTCTGTCCTTCCGTCTGTGTACTAGTACCTAAACCATGCGTAAGATTTTTTCCCCAAATTGAAGAATCCCCTATCCATCTGGCTCGAGACGAAGCTTCTGTCACGCAACGGCGAATGCACATCTGGGGGTCACAAAGGGTAAGGACTCCATGGCCAAGTATTTTTACTGGCCAAATTGCTTTAAAGACATGGAGACTTACGTGCGCACCTGCGACAGCTGCCAGAGGGTAGGTCGCGCAGGGGACAAAAAGAAATCGCCGCTGAAACTCGTTCCTGTCGTCTCAGAAGTATTTGCAAAGATTAATATCGATGCGTGCGGGCCCTTTCCAGAGTCAGAAACCGGGAACAAGTATATCCTCACCGCAATGTGTCTCGCGTCCAGATTTCCCGAAGCTAAAGCCATGAAAGATTTGTCGTCAGCAACAGTCATCGAAGCCTTATTAGAACTATTTAGTAGGATGGGATTTTCGCGGGAATTACAAACCGATCAAGGGACATGCTTCACGGGCGCGTTGACGGCAGAATTTGCGGAGCGATTCGGCATCCGCTTAATCCACAGTTCACCGTACCACCCGCAGAGTAACGCGATCGAGAGGGTACACCGTACTATGAATAGACTTATGAAGGTGCTTTGCTTAGAGGCCGGGACAGAGTGGGAGAAACAGCTCCCGGCTATTATGTTCGCACTGCGAACCACTGTACATGAAAGTCTGGGATTCTCACCGGCCGAACTAGTCTACGGCAGAAAACTGCATACTCCCATCACGCTTATGTATGAGCACTTGGCTGGTGCAAAAGAGCAGACGAGTCCGGTGGTCGAGTACGTCTTTAAATTAATAAACAGATTGAAACAAACCCGAGAGCTAGCACATCAGCGAATGGCGTCCGAACAAGAGAAACGTAAGGTTTGATACGACCGGAGGGCCATTCGCAGGACATTTGTGACGGGAGACAAAGTGCTAGTTTTGGCTCCGAACAAAACACAGAAGTTGGCAGTTCAGTGGGTTGGTTCGGGCGAAATTAAAGAAAAAATTTCGGAAACTAATTACGTAGTACAAATGCCAGGGAAAAAAGAGGCAAAAGTGTACCACGTAAACATGTTGAAGCGGTACCACCAACGGACCGAATACGTTAACGTCCTCGGTATCACTTCGGAAGGGACGGCGGAGGAAGAAAACGAGCTGGATCGGTACGCGTTGAAATTAGTCTCAAGTGATTTTCACATCGAGTCATCGCTTGACGACACCCATGTGGAGCCGGATTTTCAAATACAAAAACATATTTTTGGAAAAACCAGGATTAACTGACGTCATAACAATGGATGTAGAACTCACTGATCACACGCAAACAGGTAGGATGATGTCACCGAGACAAACAAAAATCTTAAGGGACGAAATCACGAAAATGCTCAAGGAAGGCATTATCGAAGTAGGCGAATCTGAGTTTACGTCGCTAATGATTCTGGTTGAGGCGCCGGGCAAGAAACCACGGCCATGTATTGATTACAGGCGCCTAAACCAAATCATTAAAACACAGTACTACCCATTGCCAAATATGGACGAAAGAATCGAGACCGTTGCGGCAGGAAAGATTATTACAACACTCGATTTGGCCAAGTGCTACTGGCAGATAGGTCTCACCGCCAGGGCACAGAGATCGCTGCATTTGTTACGAGTTTCGGCACATACAGGCCGTTGCGACTATCATTTGAAATACGTAATGGGCCGCATCAATGCAGTCGTATGATGGCATCACTTTTACGGGAATGTCAAGAGTTCCCTTTGCCTTACCTTGATGATATTGCAGTATTTAGCAATACATGGCAGGAACATGTACGTCATCTCGACACAGTATTTGGAATTTTGCAGCAGGCAAAACTCACTGTCCAACCCTCGAAATGCAAGTATGCACAAACACATGTGCAATATTTGGGATATGTGGTCGGAAATGGCGAGCTCAGACCAGTCGACGCGAAGTTGAAGGCAATCCGAGACTTTCCCGTACCGAAAACGAAAAAGCAGGTGCGCACATTTTTAGGTCTTTCTGGGTATTACCGCAAATTCATTCACGTGTTCGCGGAGAAGGCGGCACCTTTGACAGACCTGTTACGCGGGCGAGAGCGGCAAGGAAAGGTAACGTGGACAGATGAATGCCAAGAAGCATTCTGCCGATTGACAGAGGCGCTCTGCGGCGACCCAGTGGTGAAAGCACCGGACTTTTCTAAAAGTTTTATACTACAATCAGATAGGAGGGTTGGAATAATTTTAGCTCAAAAAGGCGATGTAGGAGATGAGCATCCGGTACTCTATAAAAGTAAGAAGCTTACACCTGTGGAATCCAAGTTTGCTACATCGGAAAAAGAGTGTCTTGGGATAATATGGGGTCTTCAAAAGCTCAGATTTTATTTGGATGGACAGGTAGCAATAAAAATTAAGGCAGACCATAATCCGCTGGTCTGGTTAAAAAATTCTGCAGGGAATAATTCCAGATTGATGCGCTGGTCGCCGTTATTGCAACAATACGACATCACCATGATTCATAAAAAAGGTACAGAGCATGTAAATGTGGATGCACTGAGTCGCATGTACTAGCCTGGAGTGATCTAGAGGAGTGCAAGAGGGCACCACGACAGTGGAGCCAAAATGTACAAAAACGGTGCAATTGTATAAAATTGTAAATACTATTGTTAAGAGTGTAATTATTTTATATAAAATGTCTTCTTAATTTTAAGATTTAGGTTTTGTGATAGGCAGTGTAAGGCTGTGAGGGTGGTGATATTTGTTGCCCAAGGTTATAATCACAGTGAAATTTGAAATGTATTTTTGAACATTTTGGAGGGCAACTTGGTTAAATTCTGAGTTAATGATTCTAGTTGAGCTATTTTGGGGAAAAATCATTAATGATGGTTGTTTCAGATTAACATGAAGGTGTTGTGTAAAGGTACAAGTACATTACGAAATTGGGACATAATAGGTACCAATTGAGCCATAAGTGGAATACCGTAATGTATTAGGGATAGGTCGGCGTACAATCTTGGAATTTTTTTCTCTGTGATTCGAAAAGTCTGCGAAAAAAAAATTTCACCCCAAGTATGGGAGAGATTGTAACGTCGTGCCAAGGGGCCAGATGGACAACACATGTCGGAAGGCCAGCGAGGGGGCGGGGGCAGTCCTTTGGCGGCAAGCGGAAGGCCACCAGAGGGGGGCCCCTCCTCAAGGGCCCGGGTGGGCGTGTCTCGGAACACGGGTGTCAACTGGCGCAGAGGGAAATGATGGGTGAGTCTAGCCGCGGTGCAGCTGGACTCCAAAATTGCAAACTGGCCCAAGTTTCGGGATGAGAGGGCGCCGCCGGCATGTGAGGTCTGTCACGTGACCCTCGCGAGGCGGCTGGAGAGTAACCAGCCGTGGTCATTCGAGTTTGAACCGAATCGGGGCGCGGAAGGCACTTGTCACCCGCCAGATGTTATCGCGAGCTTCGGCAGCGAGGTGTGGTGTGGCGGTTGCCAAGGGACAAAAGACCAGGAGCGGCGCCAAGCCGCTGGGGTTTGCGTCAGGCTGGGGCGGGGATGCCTCAGAGATGTGCAGTGCTGGGAGTGCAGCGCTAGTTTCCGAGGAGTGTGTATATAGTGTAATAAAACTTGTAAAAAAAAACTGAATAAAACAACTCCGTGTCTGTGTGTTACTCGCACCCGACGACGCCACAGGTGACAGCAGTTGGCTATGGTTAGCTATGAGATCAGTTGCGACTCCCATTTCTTGTTTTATTAAATGTTCTTGTGAAATTTTTACTCGTGAAATCCTAGCTTTATTACCGTAATTGTAAATCATATATTTGGGTTCGAATTGCTTAAAGAGAAATACATTTCTGTACTGCATATAAATCATTATTTTATGCAAAAAAAATGAACTGTATGTGACGTATAGGGAAGAAGTACAATCTATGTCACTATGCAAATTTTCTTGAGCTCCGATATTTCTACCCTGTTTTACTAGATTTATTGGTTGAATAATGAATAAATCGTGTAAGATCAAATAATTCCTAATAAAATTCACAATAAATTTATTAATACATAAATAAATGTGAATTAAGAAAAAATGTAAAAAAAAAAAGAAACTAATTCATTTCTTTCAAAATTACCTTTCAAGTTTCTTGCTTCAAATATTTATTTTTATATTGCTCATTACGTAATATTTTCTTACAAGAAATAATATTTTTCGCGTAAGTTTTCCCTAGTTCATTTCCGTTTAAAGAAAAAATTCAAAAGAAGTAATTTAAAGTAAGAAATTTAAAAAAAACTGGTTGTTTATCACATCCTTTACTGGTAAATATTGTAACATCTTTCGTTTTTACGCAGTTTTCCTGCGGTGTTGTCTGTTGCGGACCTAATACATTAATTTTAAAATATCGAAAAGGACAGGCAGGAGAACACAGGAGGAAGGGTAAGACCTACAAAAGGACTGTTCTTCAGGACCACTTTTCTATGGTACAAATATACTTTTGTGAAATACTTTTGGGAATCTGATCCCTCATCATTCACTGTCCATCACAATCGGGGTTTTTGGCCACTTTCTGCCGGCTGTTAAATAAATGTTGAGTTACTGAAGTGTTTTGCATCTCTGCTCTAGCTTTTCACTCCACTCCAAATACATGGCTTTTTAATTTTTTATTTATTTACTAATTTTTACTTTTTCGTGCAAATAAATTAATCCACCGCTTTGTGGAGGATTCTATCTAGTCTCTTCGGCAGTGATATTTATCTGACATGTTCGACTGCAATTGTTTCTACGATACGCACATGCACTTCAGTTGGTAATACGTGTGTGATACGTGTGATACGAGAGTGGGGGTGGCCTGGGCAATGGGCAAGGTCTGGGTTGGTCTGGGTGACTAATGTGTCTATTGGGGGTACTCATACTGGGGTGCTGGGGAATTTGTTATTGAGCATGCGGTGGGACTGCAGTCGAAATCTCTGGGTAGGCTCTGAGCACACATTACATATCAGACAACAGAAACGCAATAGGGAAGTGATATTGAGTGTACAACGGGGATGTACAAATGTCATAAGTGCAGAACGTTCCTACGTATTGAACTTCACAACTCGTTTGTAAAACTGTGTATGTCATTGGACGTAAATCAGTCACTTTACTGCTAACACATTTAATTATTCAGTTGTAAATTGTAATAGTGTACTTATTCATATTATGCAAATAAACATTTTTCAGACGAATGACAAACGTACTGCTACTGATAATACTACAGCGAGTTACCTAATTTTGGCGAATATGTGAAAAAACATTCTTCATTGCTGCCTTTTTTTAATCAAAACGAAAATGGATAATAAAGTTCTAGATTGCGACAATAATGTCGAAGAACACACTGCAGTTAATCAAACACTTGCATCTACACCGTCCTCATCGACATCTGGATGTGTTTCCGGCGATGACACTTCTGATGGAAAGTCTGTACCAGCAAGTATTGTTACTGCGGAGAATTATCTCACTATTTCTGAAGTAAGGTTATTAAGAATTAAAGGTGTTGTTTTCAGCAATTACCAAATTTAACGTTTTATTGATTTTTTGAAGGAATCCCAAGCTCTATGTTCTGTTGAGGACCTGACAAAAGCTGTTGAACAATGTAAGGAAATGGTTTTGGATAGTGCTGAATGTTCAGAAGAAAGAAAATGGCTTGTGCGTCGATTGATAGAGTTGAGACTGCGGCTTCAAGAAGCTAGAGAGGCAACTGAACAAGAAAATGGTTCTCCGACACAACATAGTGAACTGAAAGTAGTTCTTGGTCATCATTTTGCACTGCAGAACCAGCCAGCTGCAACAGCAAAACATCATTGTGATCGTTGTTCTGGTGTCATTTGGAGTGTTGTTCATTCATGGTATCAGTGCTCTGGTAAGCGTTGATTTTTTTAAACCATGATTGTTACTCAGCATTTGGTCCTTTCTGAGTTCTTGTATAATGTTTTGATGATGTTAAGATAAACAACTACATTTTGGACTTGCATTCAAAACTCAATGCTATGAAGAGCACAACTGTACTTGTCCAACATTCTTGTTCTTTTAAATTTGTGCTGCATATGAACATATTGTCATATATGAGAATACATTTTTTCCGGTTAATTAAAGACGATCAATTGATCATTTTCAAAGACAGTCGTATTTATTATTTATTCCAAACTTTATAAAACATATTGTCAGTTAACAGGATATTGTTAATATGTGTGTTTCATATAATTAACATTGAAGTAAAGAGGAATTGAAATGTTTACTATTGCATGTCAACAATGTCCATTATGTAAAGCTTGAACTTGCCTAAGTAATAGTAATACATTAATATTTTTGTTCTGTAATTTGAAATTTTACAGATTGTCGCTATAGCTGTCATGTGAAGTGTCTCCCACAAGTTTGCAGGGTATGTGCTCATGTAACATCATCAGAAAATCCCCTATATATTCTTGATATATGTCCAGAAGTGGGATTATCAGCCCAAGCTTATCGCTGCGCTGAATGTAAAGCTCATATCACTTTCAGTAAGTATGTAAGTGAAGAAATATTTTCAATTTTTACATTATGAATGTGCAGAAATATAAAAGAATTTATTTTTCTCACTATAGCTTTCCCAAAAGGATTGTCCTGTTTTGGACGCCCATTTACTTCAGGTATTTGTGAAAAAGAAAAAAAGGCTATATTCATGCATATAACTTGGTGACGGATCATTTGCTTAGCATTCCTGCTATTGTTACAAAGTTTATAATAATTTATTTTGAAGATCTTCTCTGGCTTAAGAATTCTTTTGCTATTGCTTTGAAGTGCTTAGTGGGACATTATGTGCAAATTTTTATGACTAGAGATTGATTCAGTGGCTTTCTTTGTAGTTAGTTTTCTTTACTCTTTATTCAAAATGTTTCCATTTTCATATAAATTATTTATGAAATGAAGAGTATGAAACAGTGGTGGCAGAGGAAACTTGTATCTAGTGTAAATAGTCAATGGATTGATTCATAATTATGGAAAATGATGTATGCTAGAAATTAATCAATATTTGTTGGGGATTGTTATGCACAATATTGGTTTATCCTTAATGACAAACATTTAATAAGCTGGCATCACAAATGTTCATAATTTTTTACCATCAATTTTGTAATTGGGAAGCTGCAAATTTTAATTGTTATTCTGAATAATTTGCTTTAATTGGAGTTTTAAATTAAAACAATGTTTTTTTATTATTGGTCATACTTTTTTTGCAAATGTGTTCACACCTGCTTTTCGATGTTGTTTGTAAAATACTTCTTAATTAAATTTGTTCAAAGAATTGGTTGCCCCGACTGGGACTCGAACCCGGGCCTTCTGGTTTACGTCCAGCTGCTCTAACCACTAAGCTACCAAGCCAACCAATTCTTTGAACAGCTATCATGAGCATGATTATCACTCCTGTATATACTATAAGTATAGTGTATAAAATACTTCTTCACAAATAATACAGAATGTGATTATCTCACAATTGTTTCAATTTTTTCCTGTGGTTATATTTAATAGTTGTTTTTTTGTTTTTTTCAACTTACAGCCTTGCATTCCCTATTTCTCTAATTTTTAAAGATGCACTTCAGGAAAGAGTAATATGTTCACAAATTTTTGACAAATAACACTGTGATTGTGGCTTTCACATTTGAGTTTGTGCATTTAGAAGATACGTGATATTCTTCGTAGTAAACTCTACTGCTTCCTTGACTGAGAAGCCTAAATTTTATATCTTTTGAGTTGTATAATTAAATCAACAGATCTCTCGAGAAGCAAATTGTCCAAAATTATGAACATTTATGTTCCAGTGTCAATATGGCTATTCATTTTTCTGACCTTATGCAAAAATATGTTATTCAAAAATTGTTTGATGTTTCTATAAAGTGTTATGCATTGTGAGGAACAAGATTTTTAAACATTCAAATGATATGATATAATGTGATTGTTAATTTTATTGTAAGTGACCAATAGTTCTCCCCATTATTAGTGTAATAGTTCATTTCTGCTAAGCCTTTTTGCTATCTTATTATTGCAACTGAAAACAATATTGAATAAGGAATATTTTCAAATCTCTATAAGCATTTAAGTATTTAGAGATGAAAAACTGCATGCAGCATTTCAACACATGTAGTTGTGCACTGTTTTTGTTATCTCTTTTATCGCCACGAGCATACTATTGTATCTTTTATTTTACAACCTTATTTTAAGATATTTTACTCAGTTGATGCAACTGATATCTTTCTTTTCTTCTGAAATAGCTAGTCCTGGCCATTGTTATGCATTGATTATTTTTTGAAAATGAGTAAACTAGTGGGCATGTTTTAACCTATTTACAAATACACAATAATTGTTAATAAATATCTCTTTATGAGGGAAGAAAATTATTTAATTCTTTAAGTGTAATAAAGTATTGTAGCTCACACAATTTAATAAAGTGCCTAAGATTCTGGTTTTCTGATTCATTGCCTTAATTGAGAGAAATATATCTGTGAAAACTCTTTGAAATATTTGAATAATCCTTACTTTTTGTTTAATTACTCCTATACTTGATTGCTTGGAAGGGTTGATAAATGAGCATAGATACAGTGTATCAAGTATTGGAACAAATTATGTATTGACTAAGAGTAGTGTGTTCATACATTAAATGTATGAACATTGTACTGTTAGAAAATGTTGCTTCTCTATTTGTAAATCTTAATTATTAAAAAAAAACTAGGGACAGAGACAGATTGCGTTAAATAATAGAATTTGGTTTTGAAAAGATCTACTAAACACACTAATTTATACACTATTAACTATTAGACCCTTTCTAAATTATCAAATTGTCTGAATTTTTGAAAAGAACTGGTTGACATATTCAAAATAGAGAAACTTATTGAAATTGTTTAGAATTTACTGTTGGTTACCCAAATGGAGCACATGAATAAAACCATTAATGTAGTAAGCTGTTTGAATGTGCCTATTGTTCTTGAAAATTGTCATGAAAAATGTATATAATCAGAAGTACAAAAAGTCATTGTTGGGGAAAAACTTGAGATATGAATCTGTAGTTTCAGAGAAATTCCACTTAGGGGCCATCCATAAATATGGAAAGCAAATTTGAATTATATTCAATACTTCCCTCTCCCCCCTGAAAGGCATGCTTGATCCCCCCCAAATAGTTACGTAACTATACTCACAACACTTCCATGTACAGTGTGGAGTAAATATAAATTAAACAACAGTTAAAAAAATTATATTAATTTTATTTGAGTTATTAAAATGTTTGATACAATAAAAGAAGTTGGAATTACTTGGTGATGCTGACTGCATCTAATAATAATAATTTTTGAGCGAAGGAAGGACGTATTGGTGAGAACATTTCTGACCAATCTTGCACACAATGTCATGGATCTGCATGAGTGAGAGACTACTATGCCAATTGAATTTGATTTTAGAAGATACTGTAGTTCAGTTTTGAATATTTTCTTTGTAACCTAACAGGTTTCAATCAATATTACACTTATGAAAAATTATATCAGTTTGTGTAACACTTTATACCCAATAACTAATTAATTTATTTTATAAATTTATTTGTTTACCATTTTAATGTGTTTTGTATAAGGATTGAATAAAAGGAATTATTTCAGCAAATCTGGGGTAGGGGTGGATCTCAGACTTATGTAATACTAAACTAACTACGACATACTTACCATTACTGCCATGAATTACTGGCGTTGCTCATTCAGCCAATCGCAGCAAGAGAATCATGGGGAGGTAGCAGTAAACTAAACGTTCAGCCACCTTTTTTTCCTCATGTGTCACCTCATGATGTCAAATACCCATGTCATCACAATAAACTTGTTTCGAAAAATTGACTCTGATTATCTTATAAATTGATAATGCTATTATACAAAAAAATAATGAATGGAACTTGTTAATAATGTTGCTTTATAGTGTTTGTACAGATTTTGAAAACTTGCTCCTAATGTTACTCATTTTTAAAACGTACTCATGCAGTAAAACAGTTGCATAATATGTTGTTATTTTAACATGCATACATAAAAACTTTTTTCTGTAACAAGAACACTGGTTTTGGAAGATAATTTACCTCTCAATTCAGATCTAATTTCAGAATTTCTGTAACTGCTTCAGTTTTCATGTGACAATGGTTTTGTTATTGCTTATGTCTCCCCATGTCTCTTGCAAAATGATGTGCTCTGATAACAACAGATCCACATGTATACAGTATGAAATACAACATGTGTTAAGAAAAGGGAAGAGAAGGCTTGAAATGTTTCAAGGGGTCTTGAAATGTTGGGTCAGCGTGGATATCTTTTCTTCTTTTGAATGTTCATCACTGTAGCATTTATCTCCATTCACTGTCTGCCCTCAGAAGGTAGTAGTACTGGCAATTGTCCACTGTGACACACGCCTTTTAGTAAATGGTAAATTAGAATATTTGCTCAGATTTCTTCGTTTTTGAGGTGATTCCAGCTATGTGGTCGTCAGAAATTAATATGTTGTGTGAGCCATTGGTTTCCTTCAAATCATGGGAATCGCAAATGGCATGTGTCAAGAACCTTTTAGCAAGCGTGTCAGGAGTGTAACACAACACACAGCATATATGGGAGGCGCATTTTTGTTCTTAGTTTAGAAGTGTCAGTTGTTACACAGCTCACTTCCATTTAGTTGTCATTGCATTTTTGAACTGTATAATAAAATCCTAGAGTACAATTTATTTTGTGCTCTATTATAATTGTATTTATGTTTATTTCATTATGCATTTATGTATATATTTATTGTGCTATTATAAATGTGGACCACATGAAATGTGCTACAATTGGGCACAAAAATTATCAGGGAACTACCTGTCTGATGTAACATAAAATACGTTTTTTTAAAATTATATTTACGCTAAAAGCTGAATATCAATTCCTGGTAAAATGGCATGTAATAAAACAATAATATATATCATGAATGAATATTAGTTAGTTACTAATAACATGCCAAATTTATGACTTGCATAGAGAAGTTTCAACATTTTAAAAAATTTGTAAATTGTATTACAGTAACTTATTACTGTTCATTAGTGTTAATCTTTCAAGAGTTCAATATAAAATCTGCTTCTTGATGATATTAAACTAATGTACTAGAATATTTATGCAACTGAGCCACTAGATCTGTTTATAATTAATTAAAAACACAATCTCTACACTGATATAAATTATATTCTTTTTGAAGATACCTTACTAATGAACCTTGACAAATCGAAAGCAAATCATTTTTTCCCAGCTTGTTATTTAAACTACCAGGAAATGACTTGTCGAATCTCATGTGTTTGATGATTTTAAAAGAAGTAGCTTCCCATGTTTGTTTTGGACTGTTTGTAACTTATGTATTCAAAATAAATAAAACATTATATTTTAACTAAAATAAAATGACTGCAGCCATGTATAATTAGAAACTTACTTTGTAAATTCAAGAATCTGAAACATTTAAATTGTTTGTTATACATGATATGCTGTGTTGTATTTTTCCAATTTTGTATTATATTCACTTACTATTTATTTTTCTTTCGATTTTAGAAAATAGTTGGGTGGAACCTCGCTTATGTGATTATAATGGCCATTACTATTGCCCAAACTGTCATTGGAATATGACATGTGTCATTCCTGCCCGTGTTGTTCATAATTGGGACTTTGAAGAGAAGCCAGTTTGTCAAGCTACGAGACAACTTCTGCAACTGATGGTTAAGAGACCGGTTTTAAAATTGCAGGAATTAAATCCCAGACTTTTCGGATTTGTGGAAGAACTTTCTCTTGTTAAGGTATTTGTAATATCCCTAATTTATATTAAAAATGAACTTGCAATTGTAAAATTAAATAAATTCATCATCTTGGCACATTTTTTTTCTTTCTTCAAAAACTGTTAAAATAAGCAGTTTTCTAGTATTTTGTGGTTATATATATATATATATATATATATATATATATATATATGTATATGTGTGTGTGTGTATGCAATTTATGGTTCATTTAACGTTTGTTGTTTTATATGTGTAGAAAATACGTGAAGATATTTTGCTTATGAAGAAGTATTTTGTATTATGTAAAGAAGCTACTGAGAGCAAGCTGCTATGGCAACTGAATGATAGACTCCATTTTATAGACAGCACAGACTCGTACAGTTTACAAGATCTGATTGATATTAACTCCGGAAAATTGCTAGAATATCTTGAAAAAGTGCAGTCAGTATTTGTAAAGCACATCAAAGAAGAATGCAAGGTTTGTATATAATTAAAATAGTAGAAATACTAAGTTTTAAGGTAATTGTGAATTCTGTTATTAATATAATTATTTTTGTATGTGCTTGCATGCATGCATGAAACTTATTGATAAGTGGACATGACTTTGATGCAGTTTTTAATTTCATGATATCAAAATGCAGTTGTTGCCCAACAATACTGAATCATTGTGCAAATAATATGCCTTAAAGATATAGTTCTAATGTTTTTAATTTTGGAGAAATTCTGTTATCTTTGATTTGTTTTAAATATTTTTTTTATCATAAATAGAACATAAAAATAGGAATACAGTTGTGAATGTGACTGTCACCTTTGGGGAAGGGAGGCCTTTGCAATGCCAACACTGTTACACTGAAAGGGGAGAGATCTTTCTCACAGATTTACAACAACGTGCATCTCTTTTTGTTGATACATGTATTCAAACACACCTTGTATATTCTTCCTCTCTGTAAAAACACATTTCTCTGTGAGTAATGTCACAATCAAATTGGAGGGCTAACATTGCACTCCCGATTGCTTTCATTCTTCCCTTGTGTCATAAATAAATAAATAAAAAATAAATAAAAAATAATAAATAAATAAAAAATAAATGAAAAATAATAAATAAATAAAAAATAAATGAAATTTTAAAAAAAATATTATTATCTGTCACAGTAAACCCTGCAATTTTGTAGGAAGTTAATGAGAATTGTAAATAAAGCAATTCCACATTGAAAACCTAAGGTACCTTTTTTTCATTTAACCCTGCAGTAGTTACGCCATATTTTGAAACGCTAGTGATGAACAGCAAATTGAGACCAAAAGTGGTGCAATGTTGATTAGTCAAAGGAGCCTGATGTGTAAAAAACATGTTAATGAAAAGTTAAAAGAAACAAAACACCAATTTTGCGATATCTGTAAATGGAGAAAGCAAAGTTTGTGTACCAGATTTGTGAATTTCTTAACAAACAATTATAACAAATCAAACAAACAAAAAAATAACAATAAGCCTCGTTTATAAGTTTACACATTTCATTCTCTTTACTTGTATAAACATTATCTTCCTTTTCTAAAGATTATGAGCAAATGATGTAACACTAGACTGGGAGTCCCCATTCATTGATAACTGTTACCACTCCATTGATCAGACTAAAACAAAAGAAAGATATATAACAATTGTTTTAGGATGGTACCAAAATTACCAGATATTTAAACTTAAAAATATGCATGATTAAAAGGAAAGTGATCCAAAAAGTAATTGTCCCTAAGTAAGGTACGTCCAAAAAGTAATTGTCCCTAGGTTGTTGGCAAAAAGAAAACTTAATTTCTGGAAAAATTTTATTGTAGCAGATGTAGCTCGTTGCACTGTTTTTCCACATAATGACCACCAGAATTGAGACATTTGTTATACAGAGGGATCCATATTTGTCTCTGTGTTTTAAAAGTGTGCCACCTGGGATAGGTACCATTGTTTGTTGGCCACCTACAAATCTGCATCATTGTGGTACGAATAATATTGACTGAACAGAACTTTTTGAAGTGAAAGAAAAAAATCTCTGGGGACGAGATGGAGATTCGGACTGTTGAGTGGATGATCAAAAACCTCCCAGTGGAAGTGCTGCAGAAGCACTTTTGTGAGCCAAGCCATGTGGGGCTGACCTTATGACCTACCCCAATATAGCCCAGACCTCGGCTCCTGCTGTGTTCCTCTTTACTTATACCTCAAGAAATACCTGTCTGGTCAGCGTTACATGTATCGCATTGATGCAGAATTGCAAGTGGCTGTTAAACACAGACATCTATCCCGGCAGACTTCTGTGACACAGGGATGCAAATATTGAGCCCACAGTATAACTAATGGTTTATTCTGGTGGTGATTTAGAGGGAAAATAGTGCAACGCATGTTGTATCTACTACAATAAACTTTGACATGAAATTATTTTCTTTTTGTTTACAACTTAGGGAAACTTACTTTCTGAATGCATCTCATAAATTCATGCTGAATGAGAAATCTTGCACAACTATTGCAAGGTTAATAGCACTCATAAATAACATTTGTTTCCACTAGAAAGAATGCAGTAGGCTTTGATTTCATTTTAATACATTTGGAATACAAGATAAATATTATTCAAACAATTTGTTCTTTCTGTTGGCTTCCTTGGCTAATGGCAGTCTGATCATTTATGGGTTTATCAATATCTGGTATTTCTCTTCACCTATCCTTCTTATATGCATACTTCACCTAACTTAGCCACTTCTTGTTTGTTGGCTAATGTCAACTTTACTTGATAAAGTCCAAAATATGCTTCAAAGTTGTCCCTACTGTGGACTTCATCCTCGCATTTTTGACAATGTGAACACTAACTGGCTAATTCAGGAATTACACAAATTAGGACTTAAGCCTTCTACCCAACTGTTGCTTCCTAGCATTACAGTTATGTGAGTTTGTATTGTTTGACTTTAAGTAAAACAATGTTGAAAAAAACTACAATTTTAAATTTAGGGAGGAGAGAAGATAAAATATTTGATTAAAAGCGACCAATAAAATTACGCTCTGTATGACTTGAGATGCATAAATAAAGTAACAAATAAATTAATTATCTAAGTAAAATTGCTCTCATTCTTTATATATATTTTTGTATTAATTCCTTGTGTTCATCTTCTTTACTTTTACAGTTGTGTTATGGAAGGGGTTACGTTTGTGAACTGTGTGATGATAGTGAAGTTATATTTCCATTTGATACTGTCGCTGCAATTTGTCAGAAATGCTCCACTGTGTTTCATAAAAACTGCTGGATGAAGAAGAATCACCACTGTCCAAAGTGTGCACGTATCCAAGAGCGTGCTAAACGGAAAGAAAGTACTTCAAGTGATGATGGGTGAAGAATGTATATTGACGCAGAGAACTAAAGCTAAATTACAAAATATGTAATTTAGCTGACATATCTAAATTTCAAATATTTATTGCTTTGAGACTAATTTTATTTTATGGAAGCATATGAAGAGGTGTTTAAAGAGTAACTTGTACAATATTCATTAATTATTAACGATGCATATGAATAACATATGCTATGAAATGCTTTCTACATTTCATATGTTTGTTTTATTGTTTGTGATCTACATACATGTAACATGTGTGTTTAATTAGATGCTATATTAGTGTTCTGTGAAACAGTGTCAAGCTGTTAGTAACCAATTTGTATTTTAATATGAAGGCATAATGTGCATAACAGTGAAGCATTACAAGCATCTCTTTAGCTTTTATTTGTAAACATTTTATGTTGCTGATATTGTTTTACCTGCAATCTAGGTTTCAAATAGGAAAAATAACAAATTGAGTGAGTAATCTGTGCCTTCTTTATTCAAGTGAGGTGTTACCTCACATGGTCATAAAGAATTCTTTATATTCAGTACCTGAAAGTAATATTCCTTATATTTAGCTCAAAAATTGTTTTAGTCTTTTGTATATTTGTGTAAAATACCTGTTATATTGTTTTAGTAATTTACAAAGACTCCTTTCATTTTGTTAGGTGTATTGGAAAAGACTGATTTGAAATTTAGGACAAACATCTTTTGTTATCTTCATAGAATAAATTAAACAAAATACAGACTCTGGAAACGGTAATAGTGACCAAGAGCAACTGCACCATCACTGAAGTGAATTTTATTTCAATATTTTAATTGACATTTTAAAATTAAGGCATTATGCCATGAGTTAAGATAATGATAACTGTGACTGGTGTAAGGCAGGAATATTTTTGTGTATTTGTTTTGCTTGAAATCCTGTGGAAATGGTTGATTCATGGATAGATTTTATAAACGATGTGCGAAATCTGTAATGAAAATAATCCCAATTATTAAAAAATTAATGAATTTGATTTCCTTTTTAAAATATAAAAGTAAAGTATTGTTATTGATAATCTGAATAAAGCTAGGTTGTCAGAAAAGTATTTCAGAATAATTCTGGTCCAATTCTGGAACAAATTATATCGAATCTACTTCTGAGGACTTCTGACTTCTTCACAATTTTTCATAATGATTTTGTTTCATTTTTGTTCTTTAACATTGGCTTACATCAAGTTCATGGTTTTTAGGCGAGTTTTAATTTTTGTTTGTCAGTTTTTTTATGCAATGTTCTGGAAACATTCTTAAAATTCTCTCATCAGAGTACTACTTATAAATCATTAAAATTCACCTGATGATTGGAAACTGTATTTGTCAAAAGGTGTGAAATCTTTTTGAACAATTTATTGCATGCATTATTTAAGTAATGACCCATTATGTGAAGTACTTTTGCACTTTTATGCACATTTACTATTATTCTTACATATAGCAGGTGAAATTTTTTTTAAAAAGCTTCAAAACTTAAGAATGATTGGTTCTAGTGTATTCAACTCTCTGACATTAAAAGATAGCAGATCCCATGAGACTTTATAAAATTTAGATCAATTTTAAAGTAACATCTTGACACAGTTTTACTCTTATGGTAAAGAGTGTGTGAGTTACTTAACTCGTGAGTGATGTGATATTTGACCTGTACAATTGACTTGAAATTTGTAAACTTTTACAAAGCACTCTTCCATCTTAAGAAAACTACCTTACTCTAAATTTTCCGAAGATTGTTTAAAGATCAAAACTTGGTCATGTTTTGTATGTTGCTCCTGTGAAGCAATTGGAGAGTGTACTCATATTGATACTTACTTGAGAAAGAGAATTCAGAAAACAAAATTAAATTTCTGTGTTCTATTTGAGGTTGGAGACTGCACTTGTGATACTATACCGATGCTTATTTTTATTGTTATTTTTCATTTGTAGCTTTATGTGATAAAACTTTTTTTCATGTTGTATGATGTAGCAAAATTGTTCACTAAGAGTTGATTGATTGTGTTACTTGACAAAGACACATTCATTTTTCAGAACATTTTTTCCATGTCTTTTTGAAACTAATGCCAATCAACAAATTCTGTACCTTGTTTTGATCTCAAAAGTTGCCTACATGGAGTTATCTAGTAGTCTTAGAAATTACCATAGAGAGAATTTTACAACAGGAAAGTGAAAACCGTTGAAAAGGAAATGGTTATTGGAACTGTCGTGAAGAGCAGAAACAGCGAAAATAATGTTGCATTTGATGGCTTCCACACAGTTTTTCAGCATCATCTTGCTGAACGTATCTAAATACAATGCCTAGTTTATTTATTTATTTATTTATGTAATATTGTGATTTTCAAAAACTACATGCCTAGAAACTTTCTGGGCTCCTGCACTTCATATTCATCTCTTTGGTTGGACATTAAAAGAACTACTCTATCATGATGTATAAGAACTCATTTGAACCTTTTTCACTGCTAGGCATGTGCCTGTACATTGCTGGGACCAGTGACCAAAGTGCTTTGAATGTGTTTGTACATTCAGGGCTCGTGGTGCCTCATCTGCTATGAACGATTATGTTTGTCTTGTTTGGGTTTGCTTCTTTCCTTTGATATAAGGTTGCCCATTATGTCTCTGTGATTGGGAAGAGTTCGGTGCCTTCTTAAAGTTTTAAGGCTTTCTTTCATTTCAAATAGATGGAGCTTGTGTCATTTTCTTAGGACTGAACCATTGCGTTCAAATTAGTGCATTCAAAATGTACAATTTGGCTCCCTAATAAATATTTTTTGTCTTCCCCCAAAGCATGTCTTTTGAAGGAAATATAGGATTGATTGTTATTTTGGAACACCTAGAAGATAAGTCTACTAGGTCTACCGAACCAGTGCAAACAGGAACAGGATCATACCTTAACATCTGCAGTTAATGGTAATGACTATGATTTTGTTATCTAATGTTCCAGGTATTGTTTCTGGAAGTCTTGCTGTTTCTTACTTGGACATTGACTTCATATTTAGACACGTTTTACTGATTTCAACGAGGTTTATCTTTCTATTGATATTATTTAATCAGTATGACAGGTGGAATTTTTGGTAAAATTGTGGAAAATATATGAAATAAGGACTACACTTAGGGTGCACAACAGCGCAAAGTGCTCAGCGCTGCGGGTGCTTCACCTGGTCGATGAAACAGCACAGCGGACATGCCAGGAGCTTGCAGCGATTAGCAGTGCAAGGTTGATTATCAATGTACTTTAATATATTTCTAGACTTTGTGGATACAACAAATTTACACTGTCAGTAAATGATGTGTAGTTACAATTGCAGCAGTTAAGGACATTGAAGATAGAACAAGTTTTTAATCACATCAAGAAAATCAGTTGTTTGTACAAACTTTCAAGAATTGTTTGAAGAGGCTTCTCTATATTATCTTTCTGAAAGTTTGCTATGGTGGTAGAGTGTCAATCAAGGTTGCCATTAGCAAACTATTTTCTCTTCTCCATTGTTTCTTTATATCATGGGATCTTCTAAATGTTTTCAAATAGCCTTATTTACATTAAAAAACAGAGTCAAAGTAACAATCGTATTTAATTTATGGTTCAGAATCAAAACTGGGACTAGTCTGCATTTTCTATATGAAATTTCAGAAAACAGATTGAAAACCTCCATACCTTTTCTTGGGGTCACAACTTTAGACCTTCACAATTACTTATGACCTTTTGTTTTCAAAAAGTGTATTTCAATATTATTATATTTACAAAAGATTAATGAAATGGCTCCCAAGTGCCAAGAGACAAATCATCAGGACCTCTTTTCTACATACCATATGTTGAAGTTTCAATAATTTTCTTCTGGAAATGTGTTGTTTATACTTTTCAAATGGTATTACTTTTTTCACTCGCCAATTTTTGACAAAATTTGTTAATGAAATGTTCAACTTTAGTGGCAATACTGTGAGAAAAATTCAAACTGCAACTTCTGAAAGTAAGTTCCATAACATATAGGAAGGGCTAACAATAATCTTCTCATACAATCCAAAATGTATTGCCATCTTGTAGGGATGTGGATAAGAAATTGAATTAAAGATGACAGTAATCCACCCTGATTCCAATATAAGAATGAAAAAAGAATTCTGTATCTAGCATCACATTTATTTCAGATGTGTATCAGGTTGCTTAAAGAAGTGTTTCATAAGAATAATAAAACATAGTCAATTTGTTGTTTTGAACTGTGGAGAAGTTACATCAACTATACTTTACGACTTATCTAAAAATTGAAAGAAACATACCAAAGCATTAATGTTTATGTAAATATCAGTATAATCATAATTTATTGATTCAGTGAGTACACCTTATAGAAAACAATTTGAATGTAAAAAAAGTATCTCAAAATTTGGCTCTTATCACTTTTAAAGACTTTGAAATAATGAATAAAGTATGTTATTTATTATGTTCAAAAGATTTCTCTGCTTAGGTAAGAATTCAGGTCAATTGGTCACTTTGACGACTTTGATAGAAGTCAACTTCAGCACCCCAAGAAAATAATGTTTCGGAGGTTATGAACCCCCTGTTTAAAATTGAGTGACAAATCATTTATTGTGGACGCTTCTCTTGTACTATTGCACTACCTTCTTTGGGACCTTCAAAACAATTTTGGGAATGCAGATTTTTTATTTAAGTTAAGAGTTCAGCAAGACCTACAGTATATTGGAGAGGTTTAAGAGGGTCATATTGTGGAAGCAAATATGATTTTAGAAGATTTTTAGAGGAGTTTTACATTGAATGTTTGATTCACATTCTGTTTTAAATGCTAAATTATTTTATCAGAATAATTAATTGTAAATAATAAATAAATGAATTAAATAATTAATAAATTTTGCTTTGAAGCAGTAAAACATCTCTCATATATATTTTCATGCTCATTCTAAAATTTAAAAATAGTCAAATTGTACCATGCATTAAAAGTTTAATGTTTTATTTCCTCATAAGCCCATTGAGCAAATAGAAAGGCTAAAGAAGAAAAGGATAACTTTGGAACATATGGAGAAATAACCACCAGCTGTACTGATAAACTAGAAATAAGCAACATACACCTGCAGTTTATGATGATGGTGGTAATGATGACTTCTATTTCAAAATTTTGAAGTCAAATTCAACACTTGGTAAACCTGACATAGCAAAACAGTATGAGGGGCTAGGGTAATATACGAAACCTCTCATTCTCTCAAGATGATTGTGTTACTTCATTGACTCAAGCAATTAATATTAGTGGATCTATAATCTGACATGAATAGACAAGTTCATGAGTATATACTACCTTACTCCATAACTAAACAAATGCTATTTGGGGTTCTTGAGAGACAATTAAAAAATACATGACATGATACGGACTTAAACCACGAAACTACAATTTAGTATTCAGTTCTGAAGTCTTGGAGTGAGTATTTCTATTCCCAGCAATCAAACTTTATTTTATTGTGGTCATAAAACTTATGCAGTGAGGGAATGGGTAACACAAGCCATTTAGTGCAAAAGTACTTCGTCAATTTTTGTTTATGACAGTGAATTAATATTGTATGTAATTTAGAATAATATAGCATAAATATAATATAATAATATATTATATTTAATAATATAAATTATAATAATAAGAAGAAGCCAAAAACTTTGTTTTTATGACCACATTTCCATCTTTTTACACCTTTCAAGTTACACAGTCAAAATAATCAGTTGTAAATGAAGCAATAAATGAAATAACTGGTTGGATACCTTTTCATTAAATCGCTATCAAGACCTTTAAAAAAAGAAATTATATAAGTTTGTAATTTTTTTAATACGACTTTCATTTTACATGATTGCTATTTACAAATTAGTCCAAGCTGACCACTGACAACATGTCTATTCAAAAACTAGTCTTGTTTGCAACAGACAAAATCTGTAAATGAATTGAGATTGAATCCTGCAGTCACAGTCCACCGTTTCTTTCCCAACTAGCATGATGTGCCTTGCTTCGTTTCCTTGCTCTGAGAGTAAAGAACTTGGTAAAACATGAAATTATTATCTCACTAGAATCTTTTTCAACATTTATCTACTCCATACAATGTTTTCTTTCATAACTGATTTGATTTGTGGACTAGATTTGTTTCTAGGAATTTTTGTTTTTCATTTGTGATTGTATAAAGAACGTGATATTTATCGTTTTGAAAGAAAAAATGTCCTACAGTTGGACTTTACAGGTGCCTTTCATTTTGCTGATGAGGAGAAATAATAGAAGTGTCAGATTTACATGGACTCTACTACACTTCACAAAAAATAGACTAGACTTTACATACTGTCCTAAGAAAATTTATTTCTATATTCAGAAAGTGAGATTTATTTACTGCGTTGAGTTCTTTGTACTTCTCTCTATGTATTGTAAAATATTCTGTAAATTTTGTTTAGATTTACTGTAGAAACTGCAAGTAGCTCCTCAAAGTGAATGTTGTAAATAACAATCTTGCAACATTTATTAATTTATTGTGAGCTTATTCAATGATTTTCAAAACCTTTTATGTTATAATGGTTCATTCAGATTTCCAAATAATTAAATGTATCCCCATAGTTTTTATATCAAAGAGGGCATGATTGCTGGATTTTATGATTTTTATTTTCACTCACTGTCTAAAACAGATGTTAAATAAAAACAGATCTACATTCTAAAAAGGGTAGTGGCACATTACATATATTTCGTTTATATTCTGTGAATGAATACACAATATTGTGATATATTTATTATTGACAATGTATTGCATATTCCATGTAGCTACATGTGTTCCTCTCAATGAATCCCTGTAGTTGTTCATTTATTATTATGTACATAAAAATTTAATGTACTGTTATAATAGCTATTAGATCCTCCCAGTTTTCTTCTATATTGTTTAACTGTATAAGAATTACAAGAATTTGATTCTCATTGCACATACTGTATAAAGTACACATTTTGTTTGTTTGCCCTCTCATTAAAAAGTTTATCTTCTAATATTTGTGTAAATATTTTCCATTTTATTATTTGAATTTGAACCTAACTCTGAGATTTGGTTATTGTGATATAGATTTAATGCTAACTAATTTAAAATACATTTTGTAATTTCATATATTGAAGGTATGTTCATTACAGTGTAGGATTATCTTTACCTTTTTTCTTATTTCCTCTTAATATAGTAAAGATACAGTTATTCATAGTTTCAGTAACGTGAATTCAAATTTCAGTTTCATAATTTGAAAGAATGTTCATTAATCATTTTGAAATTGTATATGTATACAAGTGATTTTTCTTTTGTCAGTAATGTGTAATTATTTTTGCTTTGTCCAAGTATTTTATTGGGTAGGTGAAGAGATCAGTCATTGTCTTACAGAAATGTAAGGTAATTCATTTTATTATGTACCTAGAACTAATGAAAGAAAGTGCTTCATATCTAATTGATAAAGTGTGGATTAGCTTAGCATAATTAAGTTTAGCTGTTCCTGGACTTTGATGTTCTTTATATTATTTCGTATATAAACTGTGTTGCTTTTCTACCCGATAAATGTATTATAAAACATTTCAGATAGTTTGTACCTATGAACACATGGCAGTTCTCCCTCCTTGGTGTGGAGTAAGTTGAATCTGAAATGTGAAGCACTTTTTTCATTAATATGTGTATAGATGAATCGTATGAGAATGTGTAAGAGAAAATCATGTTTCATCAATTATACTCTATTAAAAACATGAATTATTCTCCAAGTAATGTTTCAGAGCTCTTGCAATTTCAAAGTGATTGATTACCTGCCTCCTTCATCTTGCACATATTCATAACAATTCCCATCCAATGTAGGGTCTTGTAGTTGTACTATGTAACCTGTAGAAAACAATTTTGTGAATGTAGTTCTCAGCAGCTTCATAGAAACAGTCTAATTCTGATTAGAAAAAATTATTAACAAAAAGAAATGCTTGTTTTCTCTCTCCCTCTCTCTCCAATACTTTATTATAAGCAGGGCCTACTATACTCATACGTGCTACATTAATTGTATAATATTTAGAATAAGAGAATTGCACATATTATTTATTGTGAAGATATTTTTGTCTTGACTACCCCAAATCTCGTGTTCCTAGCAAATATAGAATATAAGCAAGTTGACAGTGGCAGTTGCAAGAAGCGAGCAAGATGTGACTGTATCTATTTCACAAAGAATTTGTAGATTTCTATTCTTTGGCAGTTTTGAATAAATTATCAAAAATTATGTGAATTACATGTCAGAATAGAAATATACTAATTTTATTTACTTCAAATGTTATTTTTAACTTATTTAAATACCATTCATTTCATAAATGTATGTTATTGTTTTTAAGTATTATATTTATGGTGCCATATAAAGTGTATGGACATATAATTTAAAATTGCCAAGATAATATTCTGAAAGATCTGTGTAAATCAGAATAATTACTCAGAATTCCAAAGAGGTTTATTATTGACAAGGAATGAAATATGTCTCATTATTTGTGATGAATGTTATGTAATTTTGTTGTAATGTAATTATTTCTGTTTGAGATGTTTTAAAAGTAATATCAAGTAGTTATTAAATGTCTTTTGGCTTATATTAAATTATTTAGAGAAATATATATAAAAAATTATTGTTTAAAATGAAT